AAAAAATCACATTTATGTGGCGAGACCGAATATCGTAATTAAAGATCTGATCAATAAGTACTGTGCAACATGAATTTCTTCAAGAGACGAATTCTCCGTCCACAATTTATTGAATTCATAGTGAACGGTTTTAGATACCATTTTCCCAAGTGTATTATCATCTTCCAAATCAAACTCAAAATTGACGTGACCAAATAGAACCTGAATGCTCACATCAATAATGTCATACCGTGACATGTAAATAGGGCCACATAACTTGTAGGGTTAACGTTTTAGAAGTTTCCAATGGCCTCATTTGAGGAATAAGTGCCTATTGGCAAGTTCGATTCTGTACAAATGTGATTCCAAATAGTTGTTAAACAAATTACATAGCCTCTCGGCATGGCTCTAAGTCAATCGGTCAACAATTTTCAATACTGTGAATGCAATCTCGTTTCTGATATTGGAGTCGAATCGCAAGAAAAACCAACAGAAAGACGCCATAATGGAACAGAATGAGGTTGTAACTTCGTTATCTACCTAACCCGACCATGGTCGCAACTAAAACTGTGGTCTCTTAAATTGTTAAACAAGAAGTTCACTATGAAGAGAAAGGATTCGAATATAGGAGAGTCAACTTGACCAAATACTGCAAGCCTACTTACCTCAGTTCCATGAAGCTTTTCAAATTTATAGAAGTAAGCCCAAGCGTCGCCAAGATCTGATTCCAGTTTCACAGTACGCATGAACCAACTACGAGCCTTCGAAATCAATCGTTCCACCCAGAACATTCTAGAAAGTCACGCAAATATTATAAAGCCTCATGGGCAATCGATCAAGACTATGCAACTGGGAACATACTTTGCAACAGCCAAAAGGACCATGGGGTCATGTTCGCATTTCTTTAGAGCATCCACTGATTTCATTTTGCGTTGCGGCCGAGCAGCCATGAGTATAGCCTCGGCCCAAAGACAGCCCGAGTCTGGACATTCTTGAAGAGCTTTGGACAGGAGAGAATCAGCCACTGGTTTCAGATTGGCTCGTATCTCCAATCTAATTGACTCCAACCTGATCAAACGAAAATCACAGATTTGTAATCAAGTTGAGTCGAAGGGGAATTCTAATAAGTACTAAACTAACCAAAGACTGGGCTCTTTAGGGTTCTTTGAACGTCCTTTCTCGAGAATTGACCGAGCCTTTGTCATATTACCTGATTCCTCCTCTAACCTTGAAAGCAGAATCCACAAGACGGTATTCTGGGGAACATGTCTAGTCTAAAAATGAGAGCAATAAGGAAGTAGATAATTCGGCAAAGGTCTGTGGATTCTCACTTGTAAGCAGCCATAGATTTAATAGTTCCAACTATTCTTGCTTAAAATTCCACATAAGAAACATTAAAATCGTATGATTACACAATCATTCGAAATCCAAGCTCCATAAGTTAGCAATAGGTATCGGGACACATTGAATACGATTGACTTGAATGCATCATTCGTTGCAACAAAAGAGAAGACAACTTCAATGCCACAAATGACCATAACCAGGGATGGTGGCTGAAACCTCATCTTTGAGATGTTTCACTACAGATTGTATTTTACCCTAAGATTAAAGTCTATTAGGCACGACAAAGGAGAAAGTTATCTCTAGAGATTCGATTGCCATCGATTTAGACAGCTCATAAGCTTTGTCTAGGCGAAAGAGTGCTCAGGACTTACGTTGAATTCAACATTTTAGTCAAGATAGGACAAGTAATAAGAAAGAGTCATTCTACTATACCTGTCACACTTCACCCAAATTTAAAATGGCCAACACTGGGTGTCATTTTAGCTCATACAATCTGCATTTCACGCATTGGTTATTCGAACTCAGCAATAATAACAAAATGGTGACATTCGGTTTTGTTACCCAAACAAAATATTAATATATATATATATATATATATGAAACGACAGTGGTATTTAAAAATTCTAAGGGTTATTTCACTCATTTTATACTTAAAATCAGTACTTTATAGTGAGTATACGATTCGATTAGCCATAATCAATGATAGTAAGGTAAAAGGAATTCAAACAACCCTATTCATTGATCCCTTTTCACCCTGTGAAAATACCAATAAGCCCTGTTATACCAAGAATACAGGAACAACTATCACCAGTACTAGAGTTATTACTAACCAACCTAAGTCACTAATCGATCGATAAGTTTCGCAAACATGGGGTGTGCGATAGACTTACCTCCACGTGGTGCACCCTGGGCAACGTATACTCATACGGCAAAAAAGTCTATTAACCGGCAGTTGACTTCTCACTTCAAACTACCATCACCTCACTCTATGCCATATTCGACCGCTTTCACAGTGCTCATCTTACCTTTTTCTCTACCTTTGTGTCTGTCTGCCTCTTTTACATCTGTGAATCGCTCTTCTGTTCCCCACCCCTCGGCTTTCTGCTACTTTGATGAACCTTCCCTCTGTGAAGCCCGAAGTCAGCTAAATGGCTAATGATATCTATCAAAACGCCTGCCATTTGAAATAAATAAATAAAGTATCGCAAACAAAGCGGA